GCCTGCGCGCCAGCCGCCCGCGGGTTGTCCTGCTGGTCGGAGCTTGCCGAGCGTGTCTGGGGTTTTGGGGTAGGTCGAGGGGAAGTTTACTAGCTTGTGCAAAGTAAGAGCATGGGGAGTTTAAATATGTGGTGGTGGTACCGCAGTTAGAATTGCTTCATGTTTAGTCTTCAGGTCTGTTACGGATCTCGGTGCTTGTAGGAAACTGCCTTCCTTTCTTCAGTTTGGGAAGGGTAGCACAGAAGGCTTGTTAATGTGCTGTCTGTATTGTGAAACTTGTTTATCTCTCCGCCCCCCCGCCCCCCGGCCAGGGAAATCTATTGGTTAGGTGCCTGAAACTGTTCATCTTCGATTTTTCACTGTACCAGAATTACCCCTGTAAAGATACGAGGAAAGCGAGGGACCTAGATCATGTTTGTTAAAAAGCAGTCAGGTACCATTGCAGGCATTGGTGTGAAGGATAACAAAAATAAATTACAAATGATACTGGTTTAGTGATACTGGTCTGAGACAGATCTTACTGGTATGTAATTGTTACAGCGCATGGATGTTTTTAGGTACAGTACCTTTAGCAAGGATTGGAGGAGGAAAGGGGAAGAGCAGTTAGACATTAAATCAGTTTTAGTGGTGCTGTACAGCCACATCTGCAGGCTCGTGGTGGATTTATTTTTGCTTGAATGCTGTGGATTTTGTATGTTTCTTGTTTTTTGCAGATGACTGTCTGCTAGACTTTTTTGAACACGGTGGCACAAGAGTAGCCAGGGCAGTCAATGCATGCTGCTTACAAAGAACTCGTGTAAATGCCTGAATAAAGTCTCTGATAACCAAGCTATCATCTTCCGCTGTTGGATCCTCCAGGGGAGTCAAAAGTGTCAGGAGCCTGTTGTCCAGAGCGTGCTGTGGCCAGGTGCAGGGACCATGCCTGCCTATATTACGTTGCCTTTCGGCAGGGATGTTACATTGTTTCATGTTTAGTTTTTTCTGGCAGGTCACCACAGCTGTTTTCAAGTACAAGGGCTGTTGTGTGAGGGTTGCCCAGTTGTCTGTCCGTAAAGCGTGCCTGGCTGTTACATATTGCTCACATTAGCTGGCACTACGTGGTGAATTGCCACAGATGCAAAAGTATTGTAGAGCAAACCACAGGGGTAGCGTTATTTCAGGTACACAAAGGGAAAAGTTGGTGAACATGGGCAGTGTGGACCTGCCTGGCAGCTGCGCAAAGAGGTCATCCAAAAGCCACTGGAAGCTGCAGCTGCTCTCAGTGGGCTGGCTTGGGTCGAGAGGTGCCATGTGGATGACCAAACCTCTGTGAAGTGAGGCTGTAGCTGCAGAACTAGTGGGGTAAGAGGTGAGTGATAGGTATTTTCTGAAAGCTTTGTGTTTCCTTTTTTTTTTTTTTGTGGTATAGGTACAATGTAAATCTCTAACCTGAGTTTTCAGAGATTGTCTGTAAGAGTGCTGGGCTAACAAGTGTTTGTGTGTGGTTCGTGGTGGGGGTGGGTGGATTATGACACTCAAACTGGAGGCCTCTGAAGCTTGATCTGGAAGCCTCCTGTGCTTAGTTTGAGGATTTCGTATGTGAGACTTTGCTATGGATCAGGGCAGCAACAGTTATGTTTGTACGTACTAGGGAAGGAAGCAATAGAAGCGGGATGATTGTATCTGCCACTCACAACCTGGGTACTACGACGCTGGGGTGTTTTGAGGCGGTAAGCGTCCATTTTGGATTCCTACATCTTCGTTCTGTAGACAAACTACCTGCTGTAAACTTATGGGGCTATTTTCTTTTAAACTACGTTTTCTGTTGTAGTTTTATCCTTACCCTGAGCTGACCTGCTGGATATGTGGGAGAAAGAAGGGCTTATCTCAGCTGTGTATGGCACTGTTGGTTGTAAGATGCAAATAAAATACTGTGCCCAGGGGAGAGCAAGTGGAAGTATAAGAAATAGCAAATACTGCATTTCAGTAGCTGAGTAGAAAAGAAGGGAGGCTTTCTTGGCTGGATGGGAAGTGCAGTGAGAACTTACAGGAGGAGGTAGAGGTGAATTCTTAATCAAAGGCTGCCACAGACATGTGTCTGAGGAAAGACAGATACTAGATGGGGGGGAAAGTAGGATTTGGTGGTTTTGTTTTAGTAAAGCATTTTTGTATTCTATAGCTATGAGAGGTAGCAAAGACTCAGTCTCTAGAATGGATGGAACTTGAGTGGTTGTCTGCCTTTATAGTCCTGCCCTGTGCATATCCAGTTTTGGACATTGGAGAAGACAGAAGTTAAATGTTATTAAATGTCATGGATTCTGAGTTTGTCAGTGTTTGCAGTATTACAGCGACACTAAAGCTAGCAGTGAGGAATTTGGGGAAGGGAGTTAACCTTTGTTAGAACTTCCTTCTGGTAAGGATTTGCATTTTTTATGTAAAAAGGGAGAATAAAACAAACTTTCTGTTCTTCTGTGTGTTTCTTGCTTTGTTGGTTATACTGAAAGTTGTTACCACTTCATAGAAATAGCCCGCTATAATGAGTGTGAGTTCCTCGTTATTCTGGGTTCTTGTTGCTTCAGAATTTAGTATTTTTAAATTTGGTTTTGGCGTTTTTTTTGGTGTGGTGTTTGTTGTTTTTTTTAAATGCATTTGTCTGTGCTGGGTACCTGTACTTTTCAGGTCATGCAGAGATTTTCTTTGAAAACAATGAAGTACTATTACGTTTCTGTTGCTTGGCAGTGATGCAGTTGGCCATTTTCTTTCTTCTCTTATCTCTGTTCTTTACGCTTTTCTCCTTCTTTAATCTGTATCCTATGTTATTCTTTCTCAATTTACAAATGAATTATTAGTTTTCTGCAGTACTTTGGGGTTTTGGGACTTCAGAAGACATCATGCTGCACAGCCATGCCCTGTGCAGGACTGCTGGAGAAGACTCTCTGAGCATGGGAGGTTTGTTGTTGGTGTTAGCCTTCCTGTGTAGCCAGGATAGTCTTCTTTACCTTCAAGACAATAGATCTGTTTTCTTTTATGAAGGTATTTGGATCCTAAAATTAGTTTTCCTCATGACAGGGGAAGAGATGGTGGATGTTTAGTTTGGTTTGGAGGTATTCGTTGTGGGACAGAAATAATGATAACATTGTTTTGCTCCAAGAAATCCACATTTCTTCCCCACCCCATCCAGAAACCCTGAAAAACCAAGCTGGGCCTTGGTCAAATTCAGCCCCAAATAAGCCTGGTTTTTCACCTACCCTACTTGAGGACATCAGTGCTACCAGGAAACATAACTTGAGAAAGGGAGTCTGAAAAATTTTTGGTTCTGTTTTTAAAGTGTGAGGAGTAGACATTAGATTTCCTAAGGAGTATCTTCATGCAGCGAAGATGAAGTTCAGCTAATTCTCAGCATGTTCTGACTCCTCATAATGTTCTGCTTATTTTGTTTAGGGCTTTTGAAGCTAGATCATGTGTTTTCTTCTGTCTGTTGTTACTACTATGAGTAGATAATGTGATCAGAAAATCTGGCTGGAAAGATTATGAGCTGTATGTGACACTGAACTGTTTAGCCTTCTGAGTATAGTTATTTCGTTTACATATGTCTGCAGATTTCTGTTTCTAGCTGTAGATTTCTGATTTGTTTATTCTCCTTTCTGCATTAGGGGCTACAGACATTAAGTTGTAATAGAAGTATAGGTAATGTTAAATATTGAAATACGGTACATATTTCTGTTGCTGATTTCTGATGGCCATTTCTTTTAAAGTTAATGTTAAGGTTTGCATTTGACAGAAAAATTGATGTTGCTTTATAAAGTAACTTTCTATTTCCAGAAAAAAAAACAGATTTGGTGTCACTTTAGTAGAAGAACAAAAGCAGAACCTGCCTGTGTTTTGATGACTTCAAACTTTCTAGGGTTAATCGTGGAGTGCATGAGAAATAGCAGGTTGTGTATTTTGTTATGGGTATCTTTGGCGTGATCTGTTAATTTAGCAAAAGAGATGTTTCTGTTTGTGAGCAAGGGATTTAATTTAAATGGTGTTTCATAACGACACAATCAGGCAGAACACGTGCCTAGAGGCATCAAAACTGTTGAGATACAAATCAAGCAGGTTTTTGCCAAGTGGCTCTAAACCTGTCTTTACCTTCCCAGTTTATTTGCAGCATGCGTATTCTGTATTTTGAACATAAGTTAAAGAAAAACCTTGCTTGTCATAGAAATTATACACACATGCAAACAGTATCGAGAAGCTTGAATAACATGAAGGCAAAAAGAAATGCAAACCATTTTGTGTTTTAATATCTTCTGTTCTGCCTCGCTGAAGGAATTTGTGTCTCGGGACATTGAGGAGAAAAGGCTATGGCTAACATGTCCCAGAGTAACAATTGCTACAAAATTATTGTCATTTGTCAGAAAGCATCTACAGTACCTTTTCCCCATCTGTCAGTATCTTGCAATGACTAATAAAGCTATCGATGTAGCTGTTACGTTAATTTCACTGGTTAGGAAAAGGGGGGAGCAGGATTTCCCAAAGGTATTGTAAAGAACCTTGTGTTCTTCCTTTAGCTTGTAGCCCAGGGCTTGGGATGGATTTGCTAGGTGGTGTTTCCCTCTCTTCTGGCTCTTGGGTTGTGGACCTGTCTAACTGTTTCTTTTTGAAAATAAAGCGGTTTGGTTTCAGGCTCTCCTTTTCTCTTCCAGGTGTCATTTTTGCACCTTACGGCCCTGTCTGGAAGCAACAGAGGAAGTTCTCTCTCTCAACACTGCGTCATTTTGGAGTGGGAAGACACAGCTTAGAGCCTAAAATCATTGAGGAGCTGAAGTTTATAAAGGAGGAAATGCTGAAGCATGGAAAGGATTCATTTAATCCCTTTCCGATCATTCGCAACGCAGTGTCCAATGTTATCTGTTCCATGGCCTTTGGCAGGCGTTTTAACTATGAAGATGTGGAGTTCAAGACGATGCTGAAGAACATGGCCCATGCACTAGAGCTAAGTGTGAGCAGCTATATGATCCTGGTCAATATCTGCCCTTGGCTGTACTACCTTCCCTTCGGGCCTTTCCGGGAACTTAGGAAAACTGAATTAGATATTACTGCTTTTCTAAAGAAAATAATTGCACAGCACAGGGATACGCTGGATGCAGCAAATCCCAGGGACTTCATTGATATGTACTTCATCCACGCGGAAGAAGAAAAGAACAACAAGGAGAGCAGTTTTGATGAAGACTACCTATTTTTTATCATTGGTGACCTCTTCATCGCAGGCACAGATACTACTTCCAACACGTTACTGTGGTGCCTACTCTACATGTCTCTCTATCCAGAAGTTCAAGGTAAGACTATTTTTATTCTAGGTGTTTTATTGCAGATGGTAAAGCTTTAGGTGGATGTTCAGAAACAGAAGCAAACAGCGACAATAGAGAACTCATCTGGAATGCAAATAGTACATGTGTATGTGTAATTTGAAAGGTTGATATGTAAGAAGACATCTTCTATCCTGCTGTGCTATGGTGATCTCTAAGTTAGTGCTATATATTAACTATCTAAATGTCCCTTTAGACCATGTGTTTCTTCTGTTTTGGGACAACCTTATCTTTCACAAGGAATGCCAGGGAACCCTAGCATGTTTCAAAAGCTTTGGCAGTTGTGGCATTCCAGGCATGTAGTAGTGACACAAGATACATGAGATACGTAGTGGTAAGGTATGCTTTTATGCCTCACTGAGCAGGGAGGTTCTTGAGCCTAGTGACGGGGTCTGGAGAGGTGAAACACTGCTCACTGTAGAGGAAGATCAAACTGGAGACAGCTTGAGGAAATCGGACTTGCACCAGTCCGTGGCGCCAGCTCGTCAAAGTCATTGCAAGGCGTCTCCACATCAGTCTTGATGGGTCATGGCAGTTGGGTAGGTTGCTGATGATGGGGGGGGGAGGTGCACGTGGCCCCAGAGGAGAGGCAGAAGGAGCTGGGCTTGTTCAGTATTAACGAAAGAAGACTGAGGGGAGACCTTATGCTGTCTACAACTACCTGATCGGGAGATGGAGGCAGTCTACTCTGAGGTGTGCAGTGGAGGGAGGAGGAACAGCAGAGACAGTCTACAACAAGAAAATTCTGTTCAGGTACTAGGAAAAAAAATTGCCCTCTGAAGATCGTAAGGAGTGCAACAGATGGCTCCAAGAGTTAATATAATCTCTGACTTTGGAAGTATTCAGAACTCAGGGGGGTATGAACCCGAGTAGTCTGATCTACTGTCAGAGCTGGATCTAACTTGGTAGAGGACTTTGCTTTGAGTAGGGGTTTAGATCAGATGACCTCCAGAGGTTCCTTGCAACCCCGATTGTTTGATGGTGCTATGATCTGGTTACCATTTGTGACATAGTTCTAGAAAATGACTTGCACGTTTTTGTGGATATAAAAAATACCAGTGGTGTTGGAGAGGTTACAATACTGTAATAGTACTTGGTAGAGGTGTATTTGAGGACTACTTAGGATGAATTTCTACTGCCAAAGACTTAAAATTATTTCTGGGTAAGTATTTTTCTATACTGAGTCTTGTTACAGTGGTTGCAAAGCAAATATTTTCTGTAGTACTATTTAGGAAATTTAGATGGTTGAATTTAAGAACAATAAAGCAGTTGATTTATTAATTTGTTCATTTGTCCTACATAGCAACTGATTTCTACTAGAAAGATTGTTGGGTATGCGCAGACTGGAAACCTTGGCAGGATGGACAGATTGTACTTGGGTAGTTCCACCTCAGTTCATAGCAGTGAAACGTTTCCCCAGGAGACCACTGCTTTGCCCAGACTTCTTGCTGAGCTGGAGTGAAGAAGGATAAACTTCACGTTATCTAAGAACAATGTAAACATGGGATACTTTTATCAAGTATTTGAGATTTTGAGGGTTTTATGTGCTGCAGCTGCTTTGCAGATAAGCAAATAGATACTTGTTTACAGCACCTATCTGGAATAATCTCTTTAAACAGGTCAAGATCATAGTTTATTGCACAAAGTCAACTAAATGGTTGAGCAAAGATTGCAAAATAGGGCATCAGTTCACCAGGGACAAATGTAAAATAAAATTGTACTGCATAGGCTTATTCTTCTGTTTTTAATGGTTGTGTGTTATCTCTGCTTGACTTGGTACGCAGTTACATGAATTAGATATGTTCTAAATTACACAAATGAGATATAGAAAAGTTTTGTGGTTTTTTTTTTTTAACTTTTTACTGCCTGGTACTGTACATCTATGTGCTAGTCGGTTTTCTCTCTTCTGCTGATCTCGAACAGTTTTATTGCCTCAGTCCAATTTCCCCTTATGCTGTGGCTGTTGTCAAACAAGATAAATAAACTCAGTAGTCCAGAGTGTGTCACTTAGCTGTGCAGTGTGATTCTCTTACTTGTTGTGTTCCATTCCTTAGGCGTCCTGATTGCCTGGGAGTCGTGCATGGGCCTCTTTTTTGCGTGGTTTTTTTTGTTTGTTTGCTCCCCCCCTCTTCCCTGGCAATATATTTCTCTTATCCCCTAAAGGAAATATCTGAATTGTATAGCTTCTAGCAGTAGCAAATGTTGCAGACATGGAAAGGCAAATGAACGGTTATCAGGGGAAAAAAATCAGAAAGGATGTATTTGTCTGTGGAAGCCAGTTTTGCTTTTTATATGGAAAAGGAGGTGGGTGGGTGTGCACATGCACGCATGTAGGGAGGCAGTGGGGAGTATTTGGTTTGGCCTGCTGCCTGACTTGGTTTTGGTCCTTGTCTTCTGACGATCTTTTTCAAGCAAGTGAAGTGTATTGGAGCAGTTCAAATAACACGCTATTAGCAGAGAACACTTGAAGTCTACATTTTTGCAGTTGGTAATATGAGCAGCAGTTTGGCTGCTTTCTGCATAGTTCCACATATCTTTACAAACTCCAAAGAAGCGTTGTTTGGGGTAAAATGCTGGTATGACATTTGGTGTGAGACAGTCTCCTTTTTCTAGTTTTTTTTTTTTATTATTGAAAACTTTACTCATGCAACTTACTGTGGGCTAGCATAACTGAATACAGGGCTATAAGGCGTTATTAGAAAAAGTAGCTAAACACCACAAAGCAGGTACTCGAGAGCCACACCATTAGCAAATCTCTTGCAGTCAAGGCATTTTTTACTCTGTTCCTCCTATGAGAACTTGTTTTGCTGGCAGACCCAGTAGGTGGCAGCAACCGTTTGCTAAACACAGTTTGTACGGTATTTCTGAATGCTCTGAAAACAGAGAAACTTTTTTCCATTGAGCTTTTATTTAATCTTGAATCAGTGCTAAGGAGAGAAAAGAGCAAAAACTGAGAGTGTCAGCAGCCTGGATTCTAAATCCTGGGAAAGGCAAGTGGGACAACCACAAAATACTCAGGATATCAAGGCTAAAAGAAAAATTACTTGTATTTTTTTTTTATTAAGGGTTAATTTTGAGGTCTCTTCTTTCAAGATTCTTTGCTGTGTAGCTAGATTCCAAGTTACTTGGAAGAAAAGGTGCATCATCCTGTACATGGGTGAAGCAAATCTTGCATCTTGGAAACTTCTGCGAAGAGAATTACATGTATACTGAGCCTTTAGTCAGATGAGAGGCCAAACAAATATTTTGAGACTTCATGCATCATGTGAATGAGAGGGAACTTTTTGTCAACTTCTGTTTTTCCTTTGCAGAAGGGCTCGGGGTGGGGGGAGGGAGCATCTGCCTTTTGGGGGTATTGGCAAATAGCTGAGTTCAGGTTCTGTGAATAGAAAGCAGGAAATAGCAAGAACAAGTTAAATGGCTTCAACGCTTGCAGTAACAGCACCAAAATTCCTGCTCCAGAATGAAGTATCTAAAGCGGCTGCATGAAAACCTTTCCTGTCTCTTTCCTACCTTTGCCAGTTCTGAGAACTGGATCTCCCCAGGAGCAGAGGCCAGCTCAAGCACGTGCTGCATGCAGTCTCTTTTTGTTCATTTTTTAATGCAGGCTAAAAGCTTGATGTTTTCACCGTTCAAATTACTGTATAGTTAAACTCTTAAACTAAGATTATGAATACACTTGGAACTGGAACAGGACTTTTCCTGTAACTTTTCCACTACAGAAGTGCTAGCAATGTCTGTCATCTCAGTAGCTTTAGTCTTGACAGTTGTCAAGATTGCATTTGGTTGTTTTGTTCTTAACTGAGTCCTTTCTTAAGGCTCATGTTGTAATTTCAGCTAGGGATCACACATTTTGTAGTCATTTTTGACAAATCTATTTAAACAATGAAGCATAGAAAAGTGAAATTGAGATGATGTCTTCTCTTATATTATGAATCTTTCTTTTCTTTTTTTCTTTTTCTCACTCCCTTTGAGTAGAGAAGGTTCATGCAGAAATTGAAGCAGTTCTAGGATGTGACCAAGTTCCCTCTCTTACCCACAAGGCTCAAATGCCCTTCACAGAGGCAACCATTATGGAAGTGCAGAGGATGACTGCAGTTGTTCCCCTTTCTATTCCTCGAATGGCCTCAGAAACCGCTGGTAAGCATTTGTAGAGACTTGTTAATACAGCGTTTCTTTTGTGGCTGAAGATCTGATGGGACATCTAGTGAGAATTTACCCAAGTATGTAAAATGCCATTTTTAGAGAGTAGGTGGGCTTGAGATACTCCTCTATTTAAGCAACGTGTCTGACCTAACGTCCAGAAGTTTTCTAATTCAGAGCAATTTCATTTCTGGGAATCAGCTAGTGTGGACTGGTGTGCTTGGTGGTAGCTGGCAGCTGAGACTCCACCTTTGTACCTGAAACAGCAGAGTTGGTTTTGGCTGTCTGGCACAGAGGTCTGAAAACATCAATTTGGAGCAATTGGTTTGCTAAAGCTTGAAAGGCTTATACCATTGAGCTCTACATCTACAGAAAGCAATAATAAATATCCTTTTCCAAGTGGTCTTGTTGGCTATTCATAAGCATAGCTGAACACTGCCTCAAGTGAGTGGGAGGTAGCAATTCTTGGCTTTCAAACCTGGTACTGAACTGATCTGCTTTTTAAAATGTTTTGGCTTGCTGGAGAGTGAGGTATGACAAGCTGAAATGAGACTAGTCACTTCAAAGCCCTTTTGTGGTGACAGTTCAAAACCCGTGCCTCCTCCTCCCCTCCACCTTCGCTGTGGTGGGGGCTGTGTGACAGCACAGGAACAGAGGGGAAACTGGGTCCCAGCACTTCCATGCAGCAGAGTGCATACCTAACGATTGCCATTGCCTTTTCCCTGTGGGGAGCTGTCAGTGTAACTTGATGTCTTTCTAGGTGCTCTGGCCTGCGTGATCTGACCCAGGCAGGCTGGCAGAGATCACCTTTGCCTTAAGCTCCTGCTACGTTTGCAGCCCACAGCTAGGGATCCATGTCATTTTTTCTGGTATCTTCTAGTTCTTTTTAATGAGTCTGTCTCCCATGTTCACTTCTAGCAACTTGTCAGATCCTCTGTCTCTGTGCTTTTGTTTAAAGTGCTGCAGGGATATACTATTCCTAAGGGCAGCGTGATTGTGCCCAACTTGTGGTCAGTACACAGAGATCCTAACATTTGGGAGAAACCAGATGAATTTCAACCATCAAGATTTCTGGACGAAAATGGCCAGCTAATTAAGAAAGAGGCATTCATTCCTTTTGGAATGGGTAAGATACCCACGTGCAGTCAGTAGCTGGTTGGGGGTGGTGGTTGTATTTCAAACGTAGGGCCTTGGAGGTATGAGATGTGAAAGTTGCACATTGGACCAACTACAGACCTTGTTGTATTATTACAGTTGGTGGCTTGCAAAACGGGTTGGGTTCCTAAAAGCTCCAGCTGCCAGGCAGAAATGAGAAGTAATGAATTGTTCTTTGATAATACTTTTGCTATGGATATAAATGCTGTTAATATGAAACAGTACAGCTGAGCAAGGGTTAGACTCAGGTACAGGAGTCCAAAGCTTCAGCATTCATAGCTTAATAGTAGCTTGAGCTCTTCTATGTTTGGACTACGCTAGTGTGGGAAGTGCATGCTTGTTAACAAATGGATCAACAGTGTTAAAACAGTAATATGTCTCTTCTAACTTCCTTAGGTAAACGTGTGTGCATGGGAGAGCAGTTGGCAAAAATGGAGCTGTTCTTAATTTTTGCAAGTCTAATGCAAAGTTTTACCTTTTTGTACCCTGAAAATGCTGCAAAACCATCTATGGATGGAAGGTTTGGTTTAACTTTAGCTCCTTGTCCATACAATATAATAGCTTTGAAGAAATGATACAACATCAAAGAAAGATTAAACAAAAAAATACTGCACTTTTGAAATCCAGCTTTATTTTGTTTCCAGCTAGTTTTATTACTTTCTTTCTAGAAAAACACTGACTTTCATAGTCAGTGAGAATGATTCATTTACAATTCTGGAAAGAGAAGATTTTTTTTTTTGTCAGCTGTTGCATTCCACAAATGAACTGACAGCATAGTTTGCAATTTGATATTCAAACTTGCTGGGCTTAACCCCTCTGTCTATAGGCTATTACTGTCAGTTTGTCAAATGTTAATTATGGGAGAATGGTCCAAAACATCTGTTAATGCTTTAGCAAATAGTAATTGTTAATTTGGTAAAAGCAGTATGTAAACATTTACTTCAGCAACTGAGTGAATGATACCAAAAGGATTAGTGAATGAGAGGGCATTAGCATTTTCTGTGCAAAGAAACATAACTGAGCTTAAATAATGACAAATGCTTTTTGGAAATGACTAAATGACACTTCTTTCAACCTTGGAGGATGCTTTCTTGCAAGTAACTCATAGGTGTGATTGGATCAAATCAGTTTGGACTCCTGCATTCAAACATTCTTCGCTGTCAGGGCTCACTATAAACGCGCAGGTACCAACTCTAAAAACCCCGGCTTGGAGGAGAAGTGAATCTTTGAATATACCATGTTTTTTATGTGAAAGGAGCGCGCAGTGTCTGTATGCAGATGTTTTACCTCAATGTAAAGGAGAGCGGATTTCTCTAACAAGAAACAGCCGAAGTCCTTCCTCTCTGGTGCCAAGCAGATATTCAGGAGGACACCTGCGCTGCCACTTCGCACTCACTGTTTTCCTCACATGAGCAGTGGCATCTTGTTCTCTAGCTGCAGCCTGGACGAGACCAACAGTGCGCTCACCAGGGAAAACTCCACGTGCGTAATCCTGACGTTGGGGCTTGCACTCAGGTTTTTCATTTACAGGCACTGTGGACAGTACTGCCACAACCTGTTTGGCTTTGGGAACTGGAGTCTGACTTCAAGTACGGCATCAATATGCCACTACAGATGTAGGTCTTATGCATTTAGGCATGGAACATGAGGAGTCTGACAAACCTGTGGTTTGAGTGTTAAGGCTTTCTCTTAGTTATCTTTCATATGGAGTAAAAAGATCTGTAGCTCATACAATATTAATGTCTCGGTACCTTACTATTTTCACATGCAAATTTTAATGCTGTTTGCCACTATCAAAGTAATTGCCAGGGAAGCCTGTTGTTAGGTGTTTTGGAAGGGGGCACTTAATCTTGCCTTTTATTTGAAAGCTCTCTCAAACATTGAAAGCGATCTTTTGGAGGAAATGTAACAATTAACTTCTAAGTAGTTCTTCTTAATCATCCTTAAATCTCTTTATACACCTTTTGATCTAGCAGAATTTCATGTCGGATGAAATAAGTACTTATGTACTCTTCCAAGGGATTTTTTTCCCACCCCTCACTGGAGAGCTACAAAACACTAGCAGCCCTCCTAATGTTGGGTTTACAAACTGGAATGAGAAATTGACTGTAAAGTAGAATTTGGTAATCCGTAGCAGAAACTGAACCTAAGTTGTAAAAGAAGTGTCAACTCTTCAGCTTCAAATTAACCTGTTTTTGTCACTTTTTAACTTGAAGTTTTAAAAGCCAGGTAGTGCCTAGCAAAGACTGTAAGATAGTTATTTTGTGTTTAAATTAAGATTTTCTGTTAGCTGTTTTGAATAACAAAGTGGCTTAATTTCTGAATGATATATTTGGTTGGTCAGGTACCCCACTGTTTGTGTGAGAACTTCCAGTTCTTACACTGGCTAACTTTTGACTTTATAGGTTAGCCCATGCTCATCTTAAATATTTTCTTTGTGTGAAATTTTTGAACACCCTGTAGCACAATAAAAAGTTGAGTTTGGTACCGATGCAGTAAACTTGCACTAAAAGCTGACAGTATTGGAGTAATAAGCATTCATTTATTTATATTTTCCAATGAAGAAATAGATTCTGTACAGTTGAGATTTTTGTCTAGAAATTCTTAAAATAATACATGCTTAATTGCAAAGCTGAAATGAAGTGCTGAGATAATATTTATCGTTCTGTTGAAATGCCTCTTTAAGCAACATAATGATGTTGGTGTGTAACTGATCGCTGATATAAAATACTTGTCCTTTTAATCAGTGAGGACACGTTGGAAAAGCACTTTAGTGGTTTGGTTTTTTTACAGATTCCAAAGAAGACACAATTCATATAATTCCCTACTATGTGGAATTGTACATGTTTGTGCCCGTCTTGCCTGCTGTGTTTAGTTTAAAATGTCACCCTTGAAAACTGTCCTTTGAAAATTAGCCTTCCACAAATAGTACTTTGAGAATGCGGTTTTTGATGATACCTTATAATCAAATGCTGCAGAAGTGCAACAAGCTAAAAATACTGATGTGAAGGTGCAACCATGTCTGTTTGCCAGCGTGCAAGATGCTGCTGGAAATGACACTAAAGACCTGCCTTTCATGCCCTCCAGATGCACTGAAATTTCACAGGATGCCATGAAAGTAGCTAAACAATAGCATCAAAGCAACAAAATGTTTGTGGTTTTAAAAAATGTGTTGCCATCTTTGGTAAACTGTAAGTAAAGTGGTAGCAGACTTGGTTTGCATTTGTAAATGTATCCTCCCCCTCCCTTATTTCAGCAGAGGAAGTATCTCAAATGCCTTATTGAAAAATGTATGTTTGTATGGGAGGATGGCTCTTTCTGAATGCTGAAAATGTCTTTATTTCTAGAAATGACTTCTGACTTTGCTTCAGTGTAATTTTATTTTTAATAAAGTAATTCCCAAGGAAGTGTTTGACAGCTTTGCGTAGTCATTTTAATGAGTTCCACTTGTTGACTAAGTTTGTGGTGTTTGGTGTTTTACATCTTACAAAGAAAGCTTTTGAGTGAGCAGAGGTTACAAAGTGTTTTGGATGAGGAGTGAAGGAGGTGGGGGAGTAAAGTGATGTTGGGAAAACACAGTGCCGGGCATGTTGTGGTCAAACGATGGAAAGGTGATGTCTGTTCATGCTCTCAACGCAGTCTTAAAAACAGTTACTTGGAATAGAAGGAGAGGGAAGAGTAGAGATGAGGAAGATAAAGGGGCGAGAGAGTTGCCACCAGCAGGAGACAGGAAGCTTGAGGAACCCACCTTGGTGGGAAAGAGCAGCGTGTGCGGAGTTGAGGTGTGGCGTTGTTGGACTCCTGGCATAGAGGGGCTCAAGAGACAGAGGGCAGAGAGGGAAGGGGGTGCCCGGGGGGAGCCTGGGCTGGGGGGCAGAGAGCTGCGCAGAGAAGGGCAGGCCGAGCAGGAGGCAACCGAAGTGGTCATGGCAAAGGAGCGGGTGTGAGCTGGGCCCTGGGGAGCAACAGCGGTGCGTGGGAGCCTGTGTCTTACGCAGTGGAGTTAGGTGGCAGGTAACCGGGCGCATGGTGCTGGTTTCTTAGGGAATTTCATTAATTACCTGCTCGGCTGCCATTTGTGTGCACGTGGAACAGTAACTGAGTTTGGGTGAAGCTGCTCTGGCAGCTGCTTCCTGCTCCTGCCCGCGCTGCTGTCAGGCGAGGCCGAGGTGGTGGGGGGTCTTCGCCTGGTGCTCGTGGTACAAAGGGCAGAGGGGCGAGGACACTCGGCTGCTTTCGCTCGAACAAAACAAGCTGCTTAATGTTTACCCCGGTGGCGGCTCGGGTGGAATATCGCTGTGACTGTCGTGGCCGCGTTGTAACTTGCTGCTGACTGGGAGGGCCGGGCCTTCTGGCCATAAAGGGGTTGGGCGGAAAATCGTGTCGGTCCGGGTCTGGTGCGGCTCCGC